GCCCCAAGGTTGGGCGCGGCGGAGGCGGAGGCGGGGGTGCGGGCGGGGGTAGTGGTGGGGTCGGGACGTCTGGTGCTGGAGCGGACGAGGGGACCCTGCCCAGTTCAGCTGAGCCGCCGCTCCTGCAGTTGCAGCAGCCGCAGCAGCCGCCGCAGTCGCAGCCTTCGCAGCAGCCGTCGCAGACACGGCAGACGAGTGTCCTCCCGCCCGGGTGGCCCGGCGCTGGCGGTGGCCGGGCGCGTGGTGGTGTGCCGAGTGGTGGCTCTGGCGACGGGCGTTGTCAGTACCAGATCCAGACCGGTCCTCGCCGCGGCTTCGCTTGCGGTAAGATCGATCACTCCACTCGCCGCTGTTTTCGTCGCCTGGACGACCTCTTTCGTCAGCGCTTCGGCCCGTCGCCAGACCTCCCGGACTGGCACAGTTTGCTTAGTCGTAAGATTCAGATCTTTGATATGGACATGGATGCCATTGTTTCTGCTCTGCATGTGATGTATGCTGATGACTCTAGTGTGCTTCCAGCTTATTACTCACTGTTGCCTAGTGTAGGTGTGCCTAGCGTAGCCTCCCCTGCTGCGTCAGGCGTAGGATCCTCTGCTTTCTGTAGTCTTGGTGCTTCCGCAGTCGTTCCGTCGCCAGCCGCCTCTGCTTCACTTTCCTTCACCTTGGACTCTGGCGCTTCTCGGTGTTTCTTCCGCGACTCCACCACCCTGACGCCGCTTCCTGTTCCAGCTGCCGTTTCTCTTGCTGACCCCTCCGGCGGTCCGGTAGTCGCCCGCAGTTCTACCACCCTTCCCTGTCCGGCGGTTCCTTCGGGCACTCTCACAGGTCTGCATATCCCCTCGTTCTCCAGGAACCTAGTTGGTGTCGGCTGCCTCCAGAACCTTGGTGTCACCACTACGTTCCCTGGTCACGAGCGGTATGCTGTCTGTACCGAGGCCGCCACTGGTGCCCCCCTGTCCACGTTCCCCCGGGACCCGGTGTCCGGCCTGTTCACTCTGGACACCGTGACCCCCCCGGCTGGAGCGCTCACCCAGGTTGCTGCCGCCTGCTCCTGTCGGTCCCTCACTCACCCGACCCTCCTTTGGCACCACCGCCTAGGTCACCCTGCGCTCCCGCGTCTGCGTCACATGTCCCAGCACGGTCTTGTCCTTGGTCTCCCAGGTTCTCTCCCCGAGTTTCCCTCCTCCCCAGCCCCACCTTGCACGCCTTGTGTCGAGGGTCGGCTTCGCCGTGCCCTTGACTCCTCCTCGTTTTCCCCTACCGCCGCGCCGCTGCAGACCCTGCACCTGGACGTCCGGGGCCCCGCCCCCGTCCCTGGGCCGCGTCGAGAGCGCTACTTCCTTATGCTTCTCGACGACTTCACTCGTTACACCACAGTCTTTCCCCTGGAGCGCAAGGCCGACGTGCCTGGCGCTCTCATCCCCTGGCTTGTCTCTGCGCGTGTCCACCGCGGTCTCCCTGTCTTGCGTCTTCACTCAGACCGTGGTGGCGAGTTTGCCTCCGGTGTCCTTGGTCGCTTTTGTCGTGTGGAGGGCATCACCCAGACGTTCACCCTACCGGACTCCCCACAGCAGAATGGGGTCGCTGAGCGACGCATCGGTTTGGTCATGGAGGTGACTCGCACCTCCATGATCCATGCCGGTGCACCCCATTTTCTGTGGCCGTTCGCTGTGCGCTACGCTTCTCACCAGCTTAACTTGTGGCCGCACCCTCAGCAGCCGCAGGTTTCGCCGACCCGTCTTTGGACTGGGTCTCCTGGTGACGCGTCTGCGTTCCACGTCTGGGGCTGCCTTGCTCACGTTCGTGCCTCCGGCACGGACAAGCTCACTGCCCGCACCCTTCCCTGCGTCTTCCTCGGTTTTCCTCTTGACGCGTCCGACTGGCACTTTTACCACCAGCCGTCTCACCGCTTCTTTCACTCTCGTGACGTCACCTTTGACGAGTCCGTCCCCTACTACCGTCGCTTCCCCCACCGTGGTCCCCCGGTTACCCCCCCCCTGTTCCTGGTCACTCCTTCCCCGGTAGTCCCTGCCCCTCCTCCTCCTCCTCCCCGTCCCGCCCCCTCTGGTGTGTCCCACGTCACCCCCCTTCCGTCGGAGGACCCGGTTGAGGAGTCTTCTGACTCTGGTGGCCCTCCTGTGCAGTCCTCGCCGGCCGCCCCTCCCCCGGCGCCCCCTCCCCAGTCCCCTCCTCCACCGCCTCTGCCGCCGCTGCAGTCGTCGTTGTCGCTGCCGCCGCAGCCGCCGCCGCCGTCGCAGCCCCCGTTCGCTGACTCTGGGGATGCTGGCGTGGAGAGTGCCGGTGGTAGCCGAGGAGCAGCTTGCGGTCCAGGTGTCGCCGTTGTGCCGCCGCAGCAGCAGTCCCCGCCGGTGTTAGCCCTTCGCCTGCTCGGCCTTCCGTCCCCCGACCCTGCGTCTGTTCCTCCCCGACCGTCTCCTTCTCTTCCTGTCTACGGCCCTGTTTTCCCTCCGCCGGACTCGTCCCCGGCCTGTCTCCCCCCTCGTTCCCCTCCTGTATCCCCTCCCCTGTCCCCTGACCCGACTCCTCCGTCGCACGTCTGGTCTCACCGTCCCTCCCGCGCTCGTCCTGCCTCGCCTGTCTTGCGCTCCCACCCTATGTTGCTTCGTTCCCACGCGTCTCGTCCTCCCCTTCTGCCGTCGCCTCCTCCGTCCTCCCTTGTTGTTGCACCCCCCCCGCTGTCTGACTACCTTCGTGCCGCTCGTCCCCTTGTTCCTCGGGTCCTTGCCTCTCTCGTTACCGACCCGTCTGTTCCGGTCTCGTGCCTTGACGCTCTTGTCGCTGCTGTCGCTGACTTCGCCTCTACCCGCCGCCTTGACTACGCCACAGCTCTGGTCTCTGACCCTGCCTGTCCTCCGTCTGTCGGGGGTGCTCCTGCCCTTGGCAGTGACGTCCTGGAGGACCGCCAGTTCGAGCTTGCTTTCCCCTCCGAGGCTGCTCCCCATCTCTGTTCCATGCTGCTAGTCCCTGAGGGTGACCCAGACGCTTTCGACATCCCGACCCCTCGCACTTACGCTGAGGCAACCTCGGGACCCTGGGCCTCGCAGTGGATAGCTGCCATGGAGCAGGAGATGGCATCTTGGAGATCCACCGGCACCTTCGTCGACGCAGTTCCCCCGGCTGGGGTGAACGTAGTCGATGGCCGCTGGCTCTTCAAGGTGAAGCGCCCTCCTGGAGAGCCGCCTGTGTTCAAGGCGCGCTATGTGGCTAGAGGCTTCAGTCAGCGCGAGGGGGTGGACTTCTTCCAGACCTTCGCTCCGACCCCGAAGATGACTACTCTTCGGGTTCTGTTACACCTAGCTGCTCAGCGTGACTACGAGCTTCACTCCCTCGACTTCTCCACTGCCTTCCTTCAGGGCAGCCTACACGAGGAGGTCTACTTGCATCGCCCTCAGGGCTTTATTGGCACCTTCCCTCCTGGGACCCAATGGCTCCTGCGGCGCCCCGTCTACGGCCTGCGCCAGGCTCCCCGTGAGTGGCACGACACTCTCCGTGCTACGCTTGCTGACCTGCAGTTCTTTCCGTCTTCCGCAGACCCTTCACTCTTCGTTCGTGCTGGCCAGACTCCGTTCTACATCCTTGTTTACGTCGACGACCTGGTCTTTGCCACAGCAGACAGGGATGCACTGGCCTCCGTGAAGGCAGAGCTGCTGAAGAGACACACCTGCACTGACCTTGGAGAACTGCGCCGCTACCTTGGCTTGCAGATCTCCAGGGACAGAGCATCGCGCACCATCACCCTGACTCAGTCACACTTGGTGCGCCAGGTCCTTCAGAGGTTCAGCCTTCAGTTCTCCTCTGCACAGCCCACCCCTCTGCCTGTAGACCACAGACTCTCCGCTCCAGTGTCTGAGGAGTTGGTAGAGCCCAGCGGCCCCTACGCAGAGCTGGTGGGTTGCCTCATGTACCTGATGACTTGCACTCGCCCAGATCTCGCATACCCTCTCAGCATCCTGGCTCGCTTTGTGGCCACAGGCAGACACCGACCGCAGCACTGGTCTGCCGCTAAGAGGGTTCTGCGTTATCTTGCTAGTACATCGGGCATGGGGTTAGTGCTAGGAGGACGCAGGCCAGTGGTCCTTACTGGACACACAGACGCTTCGTGGGCAGACGACGCCGAGACACTCAGGTCTACCCAGGGCTACTGCTTCAGCCTTGGCTCAGGTGCCGTCTCGTGGAGAGCTACCCGCTCCTCGTCTGTTGCGCAGTCCAGCTGTGAGGCTGAGATCTACGCTGGTGCCATGGCGGCACAGGAGCTCCGCTGGCTGACCTTCTTGCTCACTGACTTAGGTGAGCGGCCTAGCTCTGCCCCGGTCCTGTTCGCTGACAACAGGGCCATGATCCTCCTGTGTCAGGAGCCTCGACTCGAGGGCAGAGCGAAGCACATTCAGCTGCGGTACTTCCTCCTGCGTGAGCTACAGCAGCGACGTCAGGCTCGCGTAGTAGACTTGGCCTCAGGTGCCAACACGGCTGATATCTTTACGAAGGCGCTTGCGCCTAAAGATCATCAGCGGCACTGTGTACAGCTTGGTCTAGTTCCTGTAGCCTCTCACTTGCTAGGACCTTGACTTTGTACTGTCCTTTATATGTATACTCAGACTGGACTTGTGTCCTCTCCCAGTGGCTGGACTAGTAGTGCCGCCCTGCTCTTGTTCTTGCCTTGTCTGTACCCCTTCTGACTGGTCTCTCAGACCCTTGTCTGAGAGGTTGGACTAGTAGAGCCGCCCTGAGCTGCTTGTTTAGGACATTCCCCTATGCAGTCTAGGGGGTGTGTCAAACATGTGTATTTGTCATGTTTGTATAGACTGTATAGGGTCACCTCTTAGAGGGTACAACACTTAGGTATATCTGTGTGTACTCTCACTCTACCATCATTCACTTCTCTAATTCTGATACTCGTGTGTGTTTCGTGGCCTTCCTCGAGGCTCTGTTGCTAGGCTAGCTGTGCTTGTATTTAGCCCGGTGCTTCATTTGTACGACCTCACTATTGCATTACTTGATTCCTATCCGGAGATTATCAGAACAGATGGAGAGCAACGTGTTTTGCATGGAGTTTGTAACACTTGCAGATTCAGAGGAGTTGCACTCTGGTGCTTTGGCGCAACTGATGTACGGCGTGAGGAAACAGGGTGCCTGATCACTATACTATGCATCCAAGCAGGTAGGGTACACTCCGGTGGTTGGTTATCCCCGGAGTCACTGAACAGGAAAGAATGATATCGAGCTACCTATTTGGGTTCACCAGTTGAGACTGCTATTGTCAGTGCTTCCAGTTTCCCCTCTACTGCCAGCAGCCGCAGCTGCAGGAGCGACAGGAGCACCACCCCCACCAGCAGCAGCCGCAGCACCAGTTGCAGCTGTGGGTCCGGCAGTGGTCGTGCTCCGGAATCTTCCAGAGCTGAACCGTCCAGAGAAACTGCTAACCCTGCCCTGACCGCTGCCTACATTGCCCCCACTTGCTTCACTCCCCCCACTCACTCTACTGCCGGACATCAGCAGGTCTGAGTGGGCCTGAGCCTGCCCCAGCAGCAGCTGCTGCAGCTGCGCCTGCTGCTGCTGCTGCTGGTTCCCCAACCCCTCTGCCACACCAGCAGCAGCAGCCGGAACTGCAAAAGCAGGAGGAGGAGCAGGGCCACCAGCAGCCGCACCAAAACCAGCTGCTGCCCCTGCTGCTGCTGCCCTCCCACCTGCCACACCAGCAGCAGCAGCAGCAGCAGCAGCGGCGGCGTTAGCAGCAGCAACAGCATTACCCACTTCCAGCGCCAGCACGTGCTCTAACTCCATGACCACTTCGGTGATGGGCGGGCGGTTGAGGCTCTTGGGCTCCACACACACCATGCCCACCTCCGCCACGCGCCACATGGCTTCCTCGTCCCACTCGTTGGGGAAGAGGGTGGGGTCTGCCACCGCTCGAATGTTGCCTTGCTGTAAGTGGTCGCGAGCCTGGGAGAACAGCGACAGGGAAAGACAGGAGTGGATGGGGAAAAAGGGGATGGAGACGGGAAGGGCGGTTGAGGCTCTTGGGCTCCACACACACCATGCCCATCTCTGCCACGCGCCACATGGCTTCCTCATCCCATTCACGGCTCTTATGTTGTCCTGCTGTAAGTGGTCCCGAGCCTGGAATAGGAATGGGGAAAGGAAGGAGGGAGGGGGGGATTGAGGGTATTCCTTGGCTCCACACACACCATGCCCACCTCTGCCACGCGCCATATCGCCTCCTCGTCCCACTCTTGGGGAAAAGGGTGGGATCTTCAACTGCCCGGATGTTGCCTCGTTGCAGGTGGCCGCGAGCCTGGAATATGAAGGGAAAACGGAGGGAGGGGGGGATTGAGGGAATTCATTGGCTCCACACACACCATGCCCACCTCCGCCACGCGCCACATGGCCTCTTCATCCCACTCGTTGGGGAAAAGGGTGGGGTCTGCTACTGCCGCCCGGATGTTGCCCTGCTGTAAGTGGTCGCGAGCCTGGGAAAAAAGGACAGGGAAAAAAGGGGGGCAGATGGCAATAGGTGGGAGGGAGGGGAAGACGGAAGATGCTCTTTGGCCCCACACACACCATTCCCACCTCCGCCACATGCCACATGGTTTCTTCAGCCCACTCCAGAGGGTGAAGAGTGGGGTCTGCTACTGCTCGGATGTTGCCCTGCCGTAAGTGGTCGCGAGCCTGGTAGACAAGGGCCTCGGGGAACGGGTTGACTTTTGAGTAGACTCAGAAGTCCTGCCGTAAGTGGTCGCGAGCCTGGAAGACAAGGGCAGTGGGGAACGGGGGTAGATGGAAACTGATGGTGCTCAGCAGCATGAGCACTCGACCATATTGAGGTCGATGGGCTGTAGCCATATCTAGTGCTCAGTCAGTCAACAGCAAAAGGTAAGACATTTTATGAACTCGGAGAAAAGCTCACCCAGTCGATGATGCTCCAGTGCAGCTGCGGCCGGTTGAGGTCGATGGGCTGCTGGCCTTGTTAGTGTTCTAGGGTGACTAAAGGAGAATGACCATGAGACTTCACAGACAATGCAATGCTCACCCAGTCAATGATGCTCCAGTGCTGCTGTGGGCGGTTGAGGTCGATGGGCTGCTGGCCTGATATGAGCTCCAGCAGCACGACCCCGAAGCTGAACACGTCACTGCGGTCCGTGAGCTGCTGGATGGTGAAGTACCTGCAAGGGAGAGAGCGAGAGAGGGAGTGAGTGTGGGAGTGAGTGAGGGAACGAGGGGGAGTGATGAGAGCCAACCACCAGATACACACCAGTTAATCAAGCAAACAGCACCACAGAAACAACAACTAGCCTAACTCAAGGTCCCGGTATCCCACAGTGCCATTAACAACAGTAGACACGTGGCTCCTGTCGTCCCCCAGCCGAGACTTAAGTAAGCACTAACAGTTACTCAGATCCAGGTACTCTGCAGTGCCCTAAACAACAGTGTGCAGGGGGCTCCTCCTGTTGTCCTAATGCACCACTTCAGTCAGTGTGTAGACTTTTGAGTCGACTCAAAACGAGGTGACTTTTTAGTCGAGTCAAAACGAGGTGACTTTTTGAGTCGACTCAAAAATCTGTTGTCTAATGCACCAGTTCAGTCAGTCCAAACTCTGCTAGTTTCATGCGCAACGAGCAAGGAATTAGAAGATAAGCAAGAAGCACTTACTCAGGGTCCAGGTAACCAGCAGTGCCCTTAACGACCGTTGACACGTGGCTCCTGTTGTCCTGAGGGCCCACACGGGACAGTCCAAAATCTGCCACCCGCGCGTTCAGCCGCCCGTCCAGCAGGATGTTGCTGGTCTTGATGTCGCGATGGATGATGGGCGGCTGCAGACACGTGTGCAGGTATTGGATGGCTGTACGGGCGGTGTGGGGGGGTGGTGGGGGGTACGGAGAGTGGGAGAAGAGAAAGGAATTCAATTCAAGCATGCGTTCAGCCGCCCGTCCCGCAGAATGTTGCTGGTCTTGATGTCGCAAAGGATGATGCGCGACAGCAGACACGTGTGCAGGTATTGGATGGCTGTATGGGCGGTGCGTGGGAGAGGGAGGTGGGAGAAGAAGGGGGGTTCAGGGGGGTGGAAGGGGAACAAGAGTGCATTCAGCCGGCCAACCAGCAGGATGTTGCTGGTCTTGATGTCGCGATGGATGAAAGGGGCTGCAGGCCGGTGTGCAGATACTGTATGGCTGTAAAGACGGTGAGTGTGTGAGTCACAGGGGAGGGGGAGAGGGGGGAGGGGAAGTGGGGGTGGGGGGGAAACAGGTGGGGGCGGGGTTTTGGGGGAGGGGAGGAAGAGCGAAGGAGATGAAGTGATGCTGCTGGTCATGATGTCACGACAGCATGTATCATGCATGGGTGGAGACAGGCATTGCGGGAGCAATAAGGGCAGAGGAGCACGACAGTGAGGTGTAGTGAGGTACCTACGTCCCAAGACTCACCTTTAGCAGCCCCCAGGGCGATTTGGATCCTGGTGAGCCATCTCAGCCGCCCAAGCTGCTGCCCCATCTGGTCGTACAGATGCTCCCTCACCGTCCCATTAGGCATGAACTCATACACCAGCAGGTGCTGCCGAGCCTCCCTGCAGTACCCGACCAGCTCCACCAGGTTCGGGTGGCAGGCTCGGGACAGCAGATCCACCTCGTTCACAAACTCCCTGTCACCCTGTAACGAGTCATCATCCCTTCTTTTCACTGCTACCATGCGCCCGTCAGGTAACACCCCCCGGTAGACCGGCCCGAAGCCGCCTGATCCGATGATGTCGGAGGGTGCGAAGTGGTTGGTTGCGGTTGAGAGGGCAGCGAGGGAGAATCGGCAGGCGGAGGAGCCAGGGGCGACTATACATGTCATGGAATGGTCGGCGGTTGTAGCAGTGGTTGCAGCGGCAGCTGTAGCAGCAGCGGCTGTAGCGGCTGTAGCAGCGGTGGCTGCAGTAATGGCAGTAGCTGAATTTGTCTCATTGGTTGTGGCAGAAGTGGCAATTACACCAGCAGTGGCAGCCTCAGCAGCTGTAGCAACTGTAGCGGCTGTAGCAGCACCTGTAGCAGCCACCAGACCTGCCGCAGCTGCTGCTCCTCCAACTGACAAACCTTGAGCTACACCAGCAGCACCCGGCACACCCATTCCCGCTGCCGAAGACACTGCCGCAGCACTTGCTGCTTGTGCCGTTACATTCCCTGCACCTGCGCCTACCCCTGCTGCTGCTGATGCTCCCACTGGCGCATTACCAGCCACACCTGCCCCAAACACACCTGCCCCAGCCACGCCCGCCCCAACCACCCCTGGTGCGGCTGTGGTTGTCTCTTCGCCACCTGAGGCAGTGGTTACTTCTCCTGCTGCGTCTGTTGCTGTGGCTGGTAGTGCTGCTGCTGCCGATGGCTTCTCGTCAGAGAGAAACAGCAAGGGAGCCTCTTCTTGGCTGGCTGAAAGCGCTGGGAGGCCAGCTGCTTTCATTGCACCTGTTTCTGTCGCCTCTATTGCAGCTGCTTTCGCTGCTGCTGCTCCAGTCAAGCCTGCTCCAGTCAAGCCTGCTCCAGTCAACCCCGCTGCAGCTTTGGGCGAGAGAAGCACCTGGTTGCTTTGCGTGTAGAGCGTCGACCCAGCAGAATCTAACCGGAGACATGGGGTAGGGGGTGGGATGGAGAAAGTGGGAAGGAACGGGTGAGGTGCACACACATGGTGGTGCATGAGAAGGGCCTGGTTGCTCTGCGTGCAGAGACTCGACCCAGGAAAATGTAACTGGAAGTATGGGGGAGTGAGTAAGTGAGATGGAAGTGGTGGAAACGAACAGGAGATATGCACGTGGTGGTGGCGGACCATAAAAAAGGAGAAGCAGGAAGCGAGGAAGAGGGAAAGGTGAAGAGTGTTCCATGGTTTGGACGAGGATGTTAGAATGATGGAAGAGAGAAAAGAGAGACTATACCTGCTGTTTGCACGGCCACACCACCCGTATCCCCATGCACCACCACCACCACAGGTGGCTGCTGCCCCAACCCATCCACTCCCCTACCCTATTCCCCTCCCTGGTAGCACATGCTAAAAGAACAACCGCCTGATATATATATACTAATATAATATATCCGTATACATACAAATAAGGGTTACCAGCTGTTTGCACGGTCACAGCACCCGTATCCCCATGCACCACCACCACCACAGGGGGTTGCTGCCCCAACCCATCCATCCCCATACCCTCCCTCCGTCCCAATCCCTAGCATATGCTAAGGTAACAATAACGCAAGTAATATATACAAAGATAAAGGGTTTACCTGCAGTTTGCACTGTCACAGCGCCAGTATCACCATGCACCACCACCACCACAGGCGGCTGCTGCCCCAACCCATCCATCCCTGAATCATCATCACCGCCCCTCCCCCCTCCTCCTCTTCCTCCTCTCTCCGCCGCCCGCTGCTGCCACCTCAGCAGCAGCCAGCTGGCGAGGAGCACCAGTACCACGCCGATGATGACACCTAGGATCAGCGCCATGAGGACAGCTGTGCTCATGGCCGCTGCTGACGTGGCAGCGGGCGCTGGCGTGGCGGATGGAGAGGAGAAGGAGGAGGGATCAGTGGTGGTGGTGTTGGTGCAGAGAGGGAGATTGAAGGATCCATCTGGGGAGCAGAGATTGATGTTGCCGGATACACTGCAGGGAGTGAGATTGGAAGGGATCGGAAGGGATCGGAAGGGATTGGAAGAGATTGGAAGGGATCGGAAGAGATTGGAAGGGCAGGCAGACGGAAGAGGGGAAAGGCGGGGGGAGGTTAACGAGCGGGGGAAACGAGGGTGGCATGTTGAAGGATCCATCTGGGGAGCAGAGATGTATGTTGCTGGTGCCGGATACACTGCAGGAGAGTGAGATCGGAAGGGGGGAACTCGAGGTATCGAGAGGGGAGGGGCAGAGCAGAGGGTTGGTGAGCAGGCCGGAAGGAAAAGAAGTGACGGCATGCTGCAGAGAGTGGGTATGCGGCCGGATATCCGAAGTTGCCAGGTATGCTGCAGGTATGCTGCAGGTATGCTGCAGCACACACCGACAAGAGGGGGGTAGACACCACAGAGAGCTCCTAGGATAACTGACCTGATCTGCACGTTGCTGGAGCTGTTGAAGGGGAAGGGCCCGGAGAGATTGTTGAAGCTCAGGAGTGGCAGGATGAGGATGACAGAGAATAGATCCTATCGAAGGAAAACCTGCCTAACATGACCAAGGACAAACGAACCCGATCTGCACGTTGCTGGAGTTGTTGAAGGGGAAGGGCCCAGAGAGATTGTTGAAGCTCACATCCCTGCAGTGGGCGGGTGATGGGAGGATGGGTGTATTTTTGGTTGACAAAAAATTAGACTCATTGCACACGAGGTGTTGAAGGGGACGGGCCCCGAGAGATTATTGAAACTCATATCCCTGCAGTGGAAGGACGGGAGAGGCAGGAAGATGTAAAAATCGTGTGTAATGAGTCTGCTCTTGAGTCGAGACAGTGGAGGGACGGGCGAGACAGGAAGATGGCAGGATGGGAGGATGGGAGGATGGTAATGGGAGGATGGTAATGGGAGGATGGGAGGATGGTAATGGGAGGATGGGTGAGCAGGACGGGTGAGAGGGACGGGTGCGTGGAAGTAGGGAGTTTATACCCGTTAGTGGCAGTCTCTAAGTTCGTCAAGAAACATGCATGGATGGACTGTAGACAAGGCGAATCGTACACTCGAAAGAAGTGGCCATGCCTGTTGGTAGTTGGCTTCGTGCTCGTCAAAAGCAGCTTCAGTACACACACATGCATGCGTGTATGGGAGGAGTAAGCAGGTTGAACGAAGTGAGAGCACTCACAGGTACTGAAGGTTGGGAAGAGCAGCAAGAGAAGCAGGCACTGGCCCTGATAGCTTATTGTTGTTGAGCTTGCTGATAGGCAGAAGGGAGGGGAGGAGAGGAGAGGGTGGGAAGAGACGAGGTGAGAGGAGGGGGAAGGGAACGGATAAAGGTGAGGGGAGAGGGGGAGGTTGCAGAGTGCTTGAAGTGCAGCAAATGGAGCAGCAAGAGAGGCGGGAACAGGCCCTCATAGCTTGTTGTTGTTGAGCTTACTGATAGGCAGAATGGGGGAGGAGGAGAGGACGGGAGGAGGGGAGGAGGGGAAGAGGAGATGAGGGGAGGAGGGGAGTGGAGAAAGGTACAGGGGGCAGATGGGAGCAGGAGAGAGCAGAGGGGAGAGAGAGAGAAGTCGAGATGTGTTCTTAGGCGAGACAAAGGCTTAAGCAGAACTTTGGACACCTCCCAGTGAGCACAGTCGGTTTAATTTAACAAGGAAAAGAAGAATAAACAGTTAAACTAGCGAGCTTATGTCATCGAGATGGGAGCAGGAGATTGCAGCGGGGAGTGGGGAAGGTCGAGTTATTCTCTTAGGTGAAGCGAGTCAAAGGCTTTTCGCACACAAACACGAGGATTCAACACGAGAAAACCGTGCGTCAGCCCTAGCTATGCAGAGTGGGAATTGGATTGTCGCTGTTTTCTCCAATACCAGCCTTGTAAGGGCCTGCTTTCTGAGGGGCCTAAAAAACAAACAGGAAGCTTCGGCATGGGAAAACTACGCATCAACCCTAACCACGCAGAGTCGAAATGGATGATGGATCCTGGCTGTTTTCCCAGATACTAGCCGTCTAGGGCTTGAGTTTTTGCATATGAGTACATAGCCGTGAGCGTTTTCTAGCTGTACAGAACGCACATGGATCTCAGCTGTGTGAGCGAGCCAACAGCAGAGGGGATGGAGCCACGCAGTTGGTTGTGATCGAGCCAGCTGGTATACGGAGGGAGGGGGGGGACGTAGGGAGGGAGGAAGGGAGGGAGGGAGGGAGGGAATATGTGGGTCTTAAGGGGAGATGGGTGGAGCAGAGGGGATGGAGCCTCACAGTTGGTTGTGATCGAGCCAGCTGGTATACGGGGGACAGGGGGGACGTAAGGAGGGAGGAAGGGAGGGAGGGAGGGAGGGAGGGAGGAAGGGAGGGAGGGAGGGAATATGTGGGTCTTAAGGGGAGATGGATGGAGCAGAGGGGATGGAGCCTCACAGTTGGTTGTGACCGAGCCAGCTGGTACATGGGGGAAGGGGGGAGGGAGGGAGGGAGGGAGGGGGGGAGGGAAAATGTGGGTCGTAAGGGGGGATGGGGGGAGAGAGGGGATGGAGCCTCGGAGCTGGTTGTGATCAAGCCAGCTGGCACAAGCAGGAAGGGGGGCAGGGAGGGAGGGACGGGGATAGGAGAGAGCACAGGAAAAACGTGGGTCTGAATGGGGTGTGGGGGGGCAGACGGGATTGTGCTGAGCTTGGTTGTGATTGCAAAGAGAGGAATGGAGCGGGGAGGGGAGTTCAGAAGATGGGCACAGCTGAGAGTTGTTTGAAACAGGGTGCGGAGCAGTGCGGAGCATGGCTTACAGGGTGCGCAGCGTGGTGAGGTTGGAAATGCATGGTGCGAGGTCGCCTGAAACGTTGAAACTGGTCAGATTCCTGGTACGCAGCGGCAGCAGGCGGCATGTCACGAGAGGAGAGGAGAACGGGAGCACAGGAGGAGAGGAAAGAAAGGGGAGGGGGGTTGGGGGGGTGTGGGGTTGGAGGGAGGGACGGTGCGTGGGAGTGAGACGGGATTGTGTTAAGGAACTGTGAAAAGATATCGTGATTCACATCAGCGGTATCATGTCATGTCATGGGTACGTAAGACTGCACGCCAGTGGCAGGAGACAGAAGCAACAGGAGGCATGTCATGTGAGAAGAACAGGAGCACAGGAGAAGAAACGGGGGAGTGGGGCGTCGAGGGAGGGGGGGGGGGGGGGGGGAGGAGACAGTGGGAGTGAGAAGAAATGGCGAAAAAGAGAGCCAAAGAGGTGTTTCGCATTAGGCGGTATCACGTAATGGGTACGTAAGACTGCACGCGAGTGGCAGGAGACAGAGGCAACAGAGGCATGTCATGAACGGAGATCAGGAGCACAGGAGAAGAAACGGGGGGTGGGGGGTTGAGACGAGGGTGGAAGGAGACAGTGGGAGTGAGAAGAAATCGCGAAAAAGAGAGCCAACAAGGTGTTTTGCATTAGGCAGCACCATGTTATGGGTGGGACTGACAATCTCTCTCATATCATGAGTGACAAGAGAATGGTGTTGCATGGATCGCGGCATGGGATGCAGTCTGGTGCCATTTTGGGCATGGATCGCGGTATGGGATGCCATGCAGTCTGGAGCCATTTTTAGAGAAGAGTTAGACAGGCAACAACTTCAGGCGGACAACAGCCAACTCACAGGCCGATGACCGAAGAATGCTGGGCAGTGGTGATGCACATAACGCCTGGCCACACTATTGGGTTGCAGGGATCGCCAGTCCAGTCAGCCAGGGCTGCTGGCAAGCCCAGCTGTGCTTTGATGCAGGCCAGGGCGCTCACTGGGGGGGGAATATAGGAGGGGGAAACGAAGAGGAGGAGGAGGGGAAGAAGAGGTGGTCCAGCAGGTTGGAAACAGGGTTAGGTTGCCAGTCCAGTCCGCCAGGGCTGCTGGCAAGCCCAGCTGTGCTTTGATGCAGGCCAGGGCGCTCACTGGGGGGGAAGGGGGAGGGAGGGGGGGGGGGGGGATACTTGAGGGAGAAGGGGAAATGGGGAAAAAAGAGGTTTTCCAATGGGTTTGAAACATTGTTAGGTCTCCTATCCAGCCAACTAGGGCTGCTGGCAAGCCCAACTGTGCTTTGATGCAGGCCAAGGCACGGATTGGGGGGTAGTCTGGGTGGGGAGCTGGGTGGGGATAAGGGGGAGGGACATGGCAGGGACAGAAGGAGCATGTTAACCAACAGGTTCACACACAAGGGCAGATCGTCACTCTGGTCAGAAAGGGATGGATGCTGTTGACCTGCTGAGCATGCTGATCACATGTTGGGCCTGCCACTTACCTGCTGACTGAAACTGCTAGTAAAGAGGACTTTGAAGAGCAGCAGGACTATGTATAAGACCCAGCATTTCTGCTGCTCAGTAGAGTCCTCTGCACTAGGAATATGAGTCAGGCAAATGGCCTTACTCAGCATGTCAACAGCATAAGCCTTTGGAATGGACCAAAGCAGACAGCTCGTGCCCCTTCAACCGTCAAACACACGTTGATCCGTGGCAGCACCAGCCTCTCTCTCTCGACCACAGCATACAGCTCCAGCCCGAGCAGCCTCACCTCCTTCACCTAGACACTAAAGAAAAGACGACTGTAGGAAACACCTCACACAAAAAATATCACCTGTTTAGCACCTCCAACAGCCCCAGCAACGCACCTTGATCTTTGGCCACAGCAGCCTCTCTCTCCACCACGGCATACAGCTCCAACCCAGCCAGCCCCACCTCCTTCACCTCCTTAGAGAGAACGCACACTGAGAATACCACCCGAACGAGCAGAAACACACGCACCTTGATCTTTGGCCACAGCAGCATCCCTCTCCACCACGGCATACAGCTCCAGCCCAGCCAGCCCCACCTCTTTCACCTCCTTCTAGACAATGCGCTTAGGCGATATCACCTGAACCACGCAATGAACACACCTTGATCCTTGGCCACAGCAGCCTCTCTCTCAACCACGGCATACAGCTCCAGTCCAGCCAGCCCCACCTCCTTCACCTTACTCCCCTCCTCTGCTTTCAGCTGTATACTCGTCTCTGCCACCGTCCCCTGCGGCCCCTGCCCTTGCTGCCCATTCCCCTGCCCGTTCCCCTGCCCGTTCCCCTGCCCGCCCCCCGATCCCGTAACATTTCCGCCTGCCCCTCCCGCCGCCCCAACGACATCAAAGGCGAAGCTGAGCTGCCCGGCGGTGTTTTTGTTCCACTGGCCGTTGGGGGTGGAGGGCAGGGCGAGGGCGTTGCGGAGGAGAGGCGAGCCGTTGATGAGGATAGCCAGGAGGAGATCGGCTGACGGGGTACTGCTGGTGTTGGTGGCGGTGGCGGTTTTGTTGACTGGGGGAGGGATGATGTCAGTGAAATAGAGGTACGCCTGACGTGGGAAAGTGGAGGGGAGGGAAAGAGGAGAGGGCGGAGAGAGGAGGGGAGAGAAAGGAGAGGAGGGGAGAGAAAAGAGAGGAGAGGTGGAAAATGAGAAGCTGAGCTGCCCAGATGTGTTTTTGTTCCTCTGGCCGCTGGGAGTGGACAGCAGGGCAGGGGCGTTGCGGAGAAGAGGCGAGGCGTTGACGAGGATGGCTAGGAGAAGATCGGCTGATGCTTCGCATGCATGGAGAGGGATGGAGACGGTGCTGCTGGTGATCTGCACCCAGCTCACCTTTACCACCGCTCTCTCTCTCTCACCCACCTGGTATTTCCCAGCGCCAGCCCATAGAAAACACAAGTGAGCCCGTTGGGGTTGCTGCTGCTGGTGACCTGCACTGCACCCAGCTCACTTTTACCACCCCTCTCTCTCTCTCACACCCGCCTGGTATCTGCCCGGCGCCAGCCCATAGAACACTTAAGTGAGCCCGTTGGGACTCTTGGTGGTGCGGGCCTTCTGCACCACGAACTGGGGCCCGGCGATGGTCGTGCGGGCCTTTTACCACAGCTCACCTTAACCACTGCCCTTTCAAACCCACCTGGTACTTTCCAGGCGCCAGCCCATAGAAAACGTAAGTGAGCCCGTTGGGACTCTTGGTGGTGCGGACCTTTTGCACCACAAACTGAGGCACGGCGTTGCTGCGCATGCTGGGAGGGATGGTGATGTTGCTGCTGCTGACTTGCACGGAGGCCGCTGAGGGGGCGTAGGTGTAGGTGCCGGGGGCGGGGTCACCGAACAGAGGAATGTCGGCGTACCATACCCGATCTACAGGGTCGTCAGGGTAGCTGTGAATGAGAAATAGGAGGAATGGGGGAAGGTTGAGATAAAGACAAGATTGGAGGGGAGGGGTCAGGAGAGGGGTCGCCGAATAGAGGAATGCCCGCGTACCGTACCCGGTCAACTGGGCCGCCAGGATACACCTGGGAGTGAGAGAGGGACGCGGAGAAGAGAGAAGTATGGATACTTGGAAGAGAAATGGAAGCGGGGAGGCGATGTAGGTGCCGGGGGAGGGGCTGCCGAACAGAGGCATGTCCGCATACCATACCCGATCAACAGGGTCGTCAGGATACCTGGTGGGAGTGAGTGAGAAACAAGGAGGTGCAGGGGAAGTAGGTGTTGGAGGAGTCGAGGTTGAGAAAAGGGAGTGGTTGTCGGTGCCAGGAAATGGGTGTCAAAACTTCGGCACCTGCATGCATACACACTCTCCACCCTTGAGGAATTGGCCGCCAAAAGGGACGACTTTTGAGGCGCCTAAAAAATGGTGCCAGGGAATGGGTGTCCACCTTCGGCATGACGGCACCTGCATACACACTCTCCATCCTTGAGGAGTTGGCCACCTCAAAAAGAGAGGCGTATGGGCATCGCATACCGCGGTCCGTCGACTAGGTTTGGGTGACACGTGGAAGGGTATGGATGAACAGCCACCAACACAAGCTTGCATAATGTGAAGCACTGTCAAACCCTTACCGGTACGCGCCTTACCGGTACGCGCCTTACCGGTACAAGCCTTACCAGTATGCGCCTTACTGGTACGCGCCTTACCAGTACGCGCCTTACTGGTACGCGCCTTACCAGGACGCACCTTACTGGTACGACGGGCACAGCAATAAGAGAACCAACAGACACTCACCGATACCAGCGTTACTAGTACGATCCAGAAAACCGTAATGGAACTAACGGATTCTCGTCTCACCGGTATGAGCCGACAAAGAGCGAATCTCCTCCGCCAGACAGCCGCCAGTAGTTCAGCAACAGCTGCTCGCTATAGTCACTCTCGTTATAGGCACCAGTGGGCAGGGGGCGGATTTCAATGGCGTTGATGATGGGGTCAGATACCACACGGACCAGACAGATGGTCATGAGACGCGTTGGCACCGTTACTATCACCTCCAGTACAAGAATCTGGTCGTTGGATGGGGTGTACTGGCCTCTGTTAGGAGGAAAGAAACAGGGTGTGAGGAAAGGGAGCGAGGACACAAGGCAGATCGTTATGAGACACGTTGGCACCATTAAAATCACCTCCAGCACAAGAATCTAGCCGCTGGATGGCGTGTCCTGGCCACTGTTAGCGGAGGGGGGGAGCAGCAAATAAGGATAGAAAAGGAGAACGAGCACCAGACAGATGGTCATGAGATGCGTTGGCACCGTTTTTATCACCTCCAGTACACGAATTTGGTCATTGGATGGTGTGTACTGGCCCCTGTGATGGGGAAACGCGGAGAGCACAGGACAGCTGGGCATTCGCTTAGCAGGTTGCAGAGCGAGAGAGTGTGCTCTGATCTGGGTCGTTCGCTGCAGCAGCCCAGCTGAAAATGTTGTTGATACAATTGGATAGTACTATATCATATCATATTAAATTGAAATAGACGAAGGTCTGGAGCAAGAATATGGGCGGCTTACAGCGAGGCAGTGCCGATCGTTACGTTGAAAATGGGCGGCAGGTTCTTGCTGTCGTAGTTGCCGTACCAGAAGGTCAGGCGCACCAGGTAGCGACCTGGAAGGAGGGAGGAGCGGAGGAGGAATACCAAGAGACACGAACACACACAGGGAAGGAATGCCAACTTCAGGGTCAGGTCAAACGCAGATTTCTTGCCTCAGCTCACCACTTCTGCTCAGCGCACATGTTACCAGTACTCGGGGGTACGAGTACCTCTCCTGCTCGGGGTTAGGTTACCTGCAGCTGTTAAGGGAATCCGGTAGCAGTTGAACGGCGTCTCGTCGTCAAACACTCGCAGCGTCTGCTCCACTGTCACCACCCCCATCAGGTCGTTCGGTACGCACGTGATCACCGCCACAAGACTGCTCAGCTCACCTCTTCTGCCCATGCTACCAGCATTCGGATTACCTGGAGCAATCAGCGGAATCCGGTAGCAGTTGAAGGGCTTCTCGTCGTCAAAGACTCTCAGCGTCTGCTCCACCGTCACCACCCCCACCAGCTCGTCCGGGACTTGAGTGATAACCGCCACACTGCCGCCCGGTGCTTCTGTGTCTGGTAACCACTTGAGCCCGAGGTTGCTGGCGCCAGACGACCCCATGTACCCACAGTCCACGCTCACGAAGCCTGGGGGGGGAAGGGGGGGGGGGGGGGGGGGAAATCTGGGAGAGTTTGAAGAGTGAGAGGTGCCGCTGTGTGGTAACCACTCGAGGCCCAGGTTGCTGGCTCCTGACGACCCCATGCACCCACAGCCCACGCTAACGAAATCAGGGGAGGGCGGGGGGGAAGGGGGGAGCGAGGTGATGAGGGGAGGGGTGAGGGGAGGGATGGAGACTGAGTGTTGCTGCTGCGTTTGGTGGTAATTTATACTAGAATCTCGCCACGCGTCCTGTGGTGCTGTAACCCAGTCCATCCATCCCCTCCCTCCTTCGCCGACAAGTGAGCAGTGTAGCAGGCAGTGCCGTCTATTCCAAACTATTCCTCGTGGCGTTGCCTCATGGTACCCATTCCACACCGCTGCATCGCTTCACCCTTTCTGCCTACCTTTCTGTGGCAGCAGCATATCTTTCGGTGACAGCATCTGAGCGGCGGCCAGCATCCTGCTTCGCACAGCAACACCCCCGACTTCCCTTCACACTTTTCCCAAGCTTAACCATCACTATACGCTGCACGCTTTTCCCCTTCCTGCCTACCTTTCAGTGACGGCAGCTGTGCGGCCGCCAGCTAGCAGCTCCCCACAGCACCACCCGTATCTCCTCCTCACAAATTCCCTATACCTGCCTAAGCGTCTCACGTCATCACCCTTCGTGCCTACCTTTTTGTGACGGCAGCCGTGCGGCCGCCAGCTCCCTGCTCCTCCAAGCACCACCCACGCCTCCTTCTCACGAATCCCCAAGCCTAGCTGAGCATCTCACATCATCACCCCTTCCACCTACCTTTCTGTGACGGCAGCTGTGCGGCTGCCAGCCTCCTGCTCGTCAACGCACCACCCGCGTCTACCTTTTGAACTTTCCCCAAACCTTACTATAAACGCTGCATCATTTCACCCTTTTCCAAACCTAACTGCGTGCCCACTCCTCGTCACCCTTTCCGCCTACCTTCCTGTGACGGCGGCTGTGCGGCCGCCAGCCTCCTGCTCCTCAAAGCACCACCCCCGTCTCCTGCTACTTCTGCACTTCTCCCCTCGCCCGCAAGCAAGCCTCCTGTACTAGAACCGCCAGTCGACCCTGGTGTCCCCACCCACCCCCCTGCTGCTGCTGCTGCCGCTCCTGCTCTCGACGCTATCATCAACTGCCGCTCCGCACGCCATCTGACCACTGCTGCTGCTCCTAGCCGTTCCGCTCCAACCGCTGCTGCTGCTGGTCCTAGCCGTTCCCCTCCGTCGGCTGCTGTCCACCCGACAGAAGACTGGATGCTGAATACGCTTATAAGGAGCCTTAAAAGGACGAGAATCGATGTTCTTCTAACGAAGGGTGACCAAGCCGCCGGCCTCGAGGTGTGTTTTCCGTCATTTCGTAACGAGGAATAATGGCGTCGTCGCATGTGACATGATATGCGACATGGCGACGGGGACTTCGATTGCGACGGCCTTTGAGCTCGAGCGTGCGACAGCTGTCGTCGCACAGACGGAAACGAACGGGAGAAGATGGAAGGTCCGGCTTCCGCGCGTGGCTCCCCGACCGTCGCATCCTCCTGGCTATCATACAAATCCCTTTCCCTGCCATAAATATGCTCCTCCCCGTTATAAATACGATGCTCTAATCGCGGATGTATCTGTTGCTGCTCCGGCCCATCTACCAGCCACCCTAATATTCTCCGTTTCTGCTCCTGCCTAGTTACCAGCCACCCTAAGTCTCCCTGTACTTTCTCCTCCCTAAACCCTACCAGCCGCCCTGAATCTCCCTGCTCCTTCTCCTGCCTGTCTAATTGCCACTCCGAGGAGCGGCTCGCTCGCACATTCATCTTCCTGTTTCGACGGAAGTTAATTGGGTGATGCTACTCGACCGGCCAGGGACCCAAGTTTCTAGAACCAGGGGCAAGTGTTTTACAGTTGGCTGGGAAAAACCAGTTTTGTGTCGTGAGGGTGCGTGAATTGCAACACTCGCAGGCGATTTCACTGGTGCCTACAGCTCGCCGGCCAATCAGTAGTTTTAGTCCCAACCAACTGTTTTACAGTTGGTAAACTTGGGTCCCTGGCTTTAACAGACGTAGGTATAAACTAATCGCATTATTTTCCTGCAAACACACGGAAAGTGTAACTACTAGCTCAGCTCAGCTAAGGCACTTTCTGCTTGTTTAGGCTGGGAGCAGAACTGTCTTGTTAGGTTGCTTTGCTATCCGACCGGCATTGATACCACAGGGGAATCCGAAGCCTGGAACTGAAAAACACGGTTTCACGGAAACACTGAACGGCTTGTTTCCCCCTGTGCTCTAGTCAAACCCGAGTGGGAAATCCTGTCTGCTGGGGAATGTTCCTGCCTTGGGATTGCCACGCGGAGGTTGTGGAGGGAGCTACGAGAAGTTGGGTGATGACGGGTTTGGGTAGGGTTACAAAAGGTTTTCGGGGGATCACGGTTCGGTGAGGGTGCAAGCGAAAGGGTGAAGAGGTTGAGGTGGGATTCGGGTGGGATTGGGGAATGGGCTCACGCTGGTGGCTGGGGAGCTGCAGGGAAGGTGACTAGGCGAGGGGAGCGAGATCATGCTTGGAGGGGAAGGAACTGGATAGCGGCGGGAAAGGCTAGGCGGGTTTGGGGCAGTGGAGAGTCCACTGCCCCCACCCAGAGGGAGCGCGGAGTGACTGTGCGGGGGAGCACGCGGAGCGGAAGGCTTTGTCGTGCGGCCCCAAACCAGGCCTCTCGATAACCTAGGGGTCACCCTGCAGAATCCGAGTTTGCCCGGGATCCAGCTCGTCCAGGCTGGGTAGCCCTAAAACTTTTGACTGTTTTTGCAGGCCAGAGTTTCGACCAGCTCGGAATGTGCCACTCCTGACAATGACAGGGGGAGCCATTTTTTCTGGGGTGCGAACTTTTACATTAGATTTTACAGGTTGAGTCCATCCCCTACTAGAAAATCGGCCGAGGGATGATTTTGACTTGCCTGTCCATGGTCGGGTATCGATATTCTGAATGCGTCAAAAGCAGGGGTAAATCTAAATTTTACCTTGTTTCCCTTGACAAAGAAGTGTAATTACCCTGACTTCCAGAGGCCTGCCCCAAACTCGTCATGCGACCAGCGGCGTCGGCGGCTCGCTGGGCCGTCAAATTTCGGGAACCGCCAAACGGGAAAGTCGAGGGAACCGCGTCTAGAGGTCGGTGGTGGCATCAACACTAACCTCGCTATCAGCAGCGTCACTACTCAAGAAACAAAGAACAAATCTTAGCGACCTCACTCCCACAGGCATAAAAACAGGCGCATATGCATCAAAGACTCCTAGCCCTTTCCACTTAGCCCGTTGTTGCTAGAAATCCGATAGAAGATAGACAACTCTACATACTAGTCCCCCTCATACACTTAGAGCCATGTAGCCTGAGAAAAGCCGTCCATTTGTGCTACGCAACCCATCAATAAGCCTGTTCCAATTAGAACTGAGCATCCCTACGAAGTGGTCACATTCGGCTGCAATGAGCAAATTAGCAAATTTCACGGCAACCATCTGCCCGCTTGCTTGCTGGTCGCCGGATTTTCCATCCCCGTTTTCAGCTGCCACACCAGCCTCTGCCGGCTGCTGCTGCGATGAGTGCTCAGAATATAGGAAGCTCCAATCGCGCAGTTGCTTAGTCTCCTCTAAAGTAGACTGGAGGCACACGAAGCAGAACAGGTTGAGAAAGGCAGGACGAAAACGGGGAAGGGAAGGTGAAGAAAGAAATTGAGTGAACAAGGTGCAAGCAAGGGGAGAAAGCTTTACTTAAGACCAAGCAAGCAGCAAAATCAGCAGGTTGCAATCCTACAACTCTGCCCCCTGCACTCAGGTCTCGACTCGACCCTCTCACCTGCACATCTGTGCTTAACCAAGTAAACGCAGCTGCAGCTGATACGCAAAGTAAACGTATGCTCACAGCGACCTCAGCTGCACATGGGACCCCCCTCCCCAGGCTCCTCCTTCCACCAAACATAGGATCCTAAAACCTGTTCTCAAGCCCTCTCACCTGTGCGTCTGTGCTTAACCAAGCATGGTTGATGGTCGGAACATGCAGCTGCAGCTGATACGCAAAGTACATGTATGCTCCCAGAGACCTCAGCTTTACCCGAGACCCTTGAAACCCCCCTCCGCCTCCCAAAGAACCACCCCCCTCAGATCCCCCTCCACCCATCACAGCATCTCCATGCGCCACGTGTATGCTCACGATTGGCCGGAACACAAACACCTCCCCGCCGACGCCTTTATAGGTTTTGTCTACAGTGGCGGGCTTTTCACCGTCGGTGTCCCGGACCAAACACCCCGCAAAGCCTTCCCCGGTCCAGACGTCTGTTTCCAGGTTCGGCGGAGTGAATTTGATTCCCCTGAGAAAAACTGCTTCCTCGGTCATGTTAAAATTCGGGATGCCCTGCCCGGATTTGCTGGTGCCCTTCTCGAGGGATTGGATGATGCCAGATTCTTGCGTGCTGATGTCAGACACGTGGACGGCCACTCGCAAACCATAGCTGACGTGGCGGATGCGGTTGATGACGTGGCACAGGTGTGCGGATGGCCAACGGAGGAGGAAGCGTGCTGACTGGGCATGCCACCACCGATGCTGAGTCAGCAAAGAGGTGGGTGAGGTGGATGGGAGAGTTGCGGAGGGAGAGAGCAGGAAGAAAGTAGAAGGACGGGGGGGGAAAGAAAGTTTACGCCTGTTAGGATACATGAAGTTGTTCCGAAGGACAAGGATTGCTGATTGAGAGATCTTTGTCGTAACACTTTTAAAGTGGCGGGTTCTGACCCTTATCCTCTATCAGCCTCACCTGCATTGTTCTCACATCCCACCGACCTGCATGGTTCTCTCATCCGCGCATTCCAACACCCCGGCAGCTCAATTGTAGATGGTTTCACATAAAACGGCTCATAGCATTCGCCCATCTGACTTCTCTCTAAGTGCAGGCCCACTCACCTGCATGGTTCTCTCATCCGCCTCGTCCAACACCCCCTGCAGCTCCACTGTGGATGGCCGATCCCTCCACGGTGTGCCCCACCGCCTGGGGTGAGGGGATTGGTGGAAGATAAGGTGTGTGTACACGGAAGAGGGTGGTCGAAAGGGAAAGTCCGCCTGAAGGGAAGGGGTTGGCGGACGATAAGGTGTGTGTTCAGAAGTTGGTAGCGGAAAGGGAAAGTCCGCCTGAGGCGAGGGGGATTGTAGGACGATACGGTGTGTGTATTTGGAAGTGGGTGGCAGTAAGGGAAAGAGAAGGCAGCAAAACACGTGGCCAGGAAAGGAAAAGAGTGAGGAGAAGACGGAGGAGTTCAATGGAGGGGTTGGCAGATAGAGTATGGCATTCCATTACAGGAGAGACGTACACACAAGAGGCTTAACACAAGGACTGTCCCATACGAACAAGCACACTCACTTGGCCCCGTCAATGTCTTCAAAGTGCCTTGCGTCGGCGAACCTGACCACCAGGTCCGGTGAGGCCAGCCGAGCCTCCATGTCAGGCCCGTTTGCTGACGTGGCCTGGTTGGCTGCTACAGCTGCTACAGCCTCGTCCACACACTCTTGGGAGGAAATCGGAAAGAAATAGCATTCCCAGGAACCCATCTTTCCTGTGGCTGAGAGGATTTGGGGGAGGAGGGGGGGGAGAAAGAAGAGGGGGGGTTTGAGGTGCCTCAAACCCAACTGCTACAGCGTTGTCCATGCGCTCTTGGGAGTATACTAGGAAGAAATAGCACTGCTACTCAACCACGCGACCTGTGGCTGAAAAAGAGGGGGGGGGAATGGGGGAAGAGGGTGGGCAAATCTGGCACTACAAGCACAGCTGCCACAGCCTCTTCTACACACTCTTTGGGGGATATTGGAAAGTAGCACTCACCAGCGCCCATGTGTCCCATGGCTGTGATAGGGAGGAGGGGAATGGAGGGGTTGGAAGGAGGGGTTGGGGGTTGGGGGGGGAGGGGGGTCTGACGGGGCGGTTGTATGGAGGTGTGGGAGGGGTGGGGTTACAGCAATATTCAGAAAGGCAGTCAAGACGTTGATCTGCGTTCCCTTGCACGTCAAAGTGCCTCACGACACAACAATCATGCATACCTTGGCAAGCCGAGTTGTTGGCTCTTGAGTAACTCCCCGGCACCACCACCAGAGTGCGGTTATGCCTCACAGCAATGCTCAGAAAGGCAGACATGATGTGAATCTGTGTCCCCATGCCCAGGGAACCAGAATCCCCTGATGCTGTTGCTGCTGCTTGAGTTGGACCTTCTATCGGCCCCTCTACCCACTCTGCCAGCAGGATTCGCCTGCCCTTGCACGTGGCAGGAAACTGGCTCTCCCAGATGTCCCTCTGCGCGACACGTGTCAGCGCGAGGTTGGCCAGATCGTCCCCACGGACCTGGGAAGAAGGCAGGGAACAGAGAAATGAGGGAGGGAGAAGCGAATGGGTTGGAAGGATTTAAGAGGGACGGGAGCATGGGGTAGAGTGGTGACGAGAATTGGGATAGGTGAGTGGACACAGGGGAGGGGTGAGGGAGGGAGACTAGGCAAAATGTTACTTTTAGGGTGACATTCAAATATCAGATATGCAGAGGTTGAGATTGGGGGGGAGATTTGCAGTTATCCGGTCCCCAACGTACCCAAAGCTGTGGGCTGCACCTATCTGGTTTTAGCCGCCGCAAAAATAGGTCAGCTGTGGGCTGCACCTATCCGCTCCGCAGCAGTAAAACAGTCGGGTCCGTTCAGGAAGCGACCCCTCTGCCCCTCTGCTCCGAGGAGTCCTGTGCTGCAGCATTTGGCTTTCCAAATTCTTTAGATTCATCGCCAAACCCACCACCAAGGTGGCCGTCGGTTAGGGTGGCTAGAAAACCTCAGACCCCTCCCCAAGGTGGCTGCGGGTTGCAGGCTTGCAGCTGCAGCGTTTGGAAGGTCGGGTGCAGTTAAGAGCAGACCCATCCGGCCCCCTTCGCTCCACGGAGAGGCGGAATGCTATGTTATGCAGCACTTACGAATTTTCCGATTCTATAAATAGAAGATTTGTCACAGGCGTACCCAAGGCGGCTGTGGGTTGCAGCTGCAGCAGTTGGACGGTCGGGTCCAGTCAGGAGCAGAACCATCAGGTCCCCTCTGCTCCACGGAGAGGCGGAAGGCTGTGCGCGCGGAGCAGTCCTGCAGGTGCGGAGCTGGCGGAAGGTTCGCAGGCAGCTGAAACTTTTCCGGAGGAGAAACGGAGTTGGCTTCTAGGCCGTAGGCCTTCTCCCAACTCTGGGAGACCAGCGGGAGGAAGGTAAGCGGGAGGAGAGGTGAGACGCGGAGATTGCAGGAGTGAACGAGAGGAGATTGCGACACGTGGCAAATTCAAGAAAATTGACGAATCTGACTTGTCGAGGAAATTGAGGCTGACGCTAGGAACGACATCAGATCAGATTGTGGAGAACGACGCTCGGAGCGCTCGTCACCACATCCGGGAAGGAAAACGATGCACGTATAGAGAGACCGGACAAGACGCGTTACCAGAAGGCAGAAAAAAGAGTAGCTCACTCGATACAGTGACATAGCATGCTCGAGCCCAGCACCACCGAAGCTCCATCCGCTGTGCTCCGCTAAGGTAGTTCTTCCGCCAGCGAGAAAAATTACCACTACGATCAATGGAAATGCCACACGCAGTTTTGACGGACTCTGGGTAATACCTGACATTTTCGTTATAGCGACTATCGACCAATCTCAGGGCTTGCTTGTGCCTGTGGAATCAGGTTGCTAGCAATGATGATAGCATCGAGCACCGTCACCCACCGTGCTGCTGACCAGCACCTTGGGGCTGCCGTGACAGAACAACCTTCTACTGAACAGGAAATGCCAAGCATAAATGTTATCAATAAATGCAAGGTAGAACTCTGGCAGGAGAAATCGTACTTTCTGGCGGAGATAGTCTGCCCAGAATGAGCTTCCAAACTGGCATTATTCCGAGGAAATAAGTACATCGTTGTCAAAGCTCTGGTTTTGAACAGTTACCATATTTTTTAAAAAGTAACACTTCCAATTTTTTATTTTCCCTCCCGTGCGGAACACAACTTCCGCCTGTAAGGTGACGTCACGTGCAGTACCTGACACCCCCAAGGGTGAACCCTGGCATCCTGACCCTGACCCTCAATTTTGACTTCTTTTTTTAAACACGCCCCGGTCATCCACCCAAGTTGATGCAGTGCCCACCCACTACCTGGGGAATTGTTCGACACAATCCATCCCTTTCGCCTTCCATCTATTTCCCCATGTCTATCCAGTCCTCTTGTTGGAGTCTAGGCTGCTCCTTAGCTTTTCCTCAGGTGTGCTTCTGTTCCTGAATTCTCGCAACGCCAACAAAAAATCCCGTATCCGCGTGGGCAACGAGAGCTTGCATCCGCTTTTCTTGACACATCGATCGGCCTCGCGCTCCCATCTCGTGCTGCTCGCACTTCCTCTCAGCCATGGGCTCGTTACAGATCTAAGTCACGGGTTCCCTGTCTTGAGTCGCGACACCCTACAGCTAATTTCTTATTCTTGGCTACCCAGAAAGCATATTCTCTGTTTGACGACCAGTTACAGCAAGGCGGTCTTGATCATCTCTCTAATGGCAAGCAATATGCTAAGTACGACTGCTCTTGGAAGAAATTCGCCGCCCGTCGGCTTCAGTCAGGCTCAGTTGAACCAGCTAATGGCTCAAATTTACATCTTCGCGCATTTTCGGTGAGCGATATTCCGGCATACTGAAACTTATTCGACCTTGAGCTGAAGCGATGAACCTCCTCAGAAGTCTCCATAATTTCACAGGAAGACTTCGTTCTCCTTGGGTGCTAAGATCCCTAATCACGTTCTGGCAGCGGCTGGTTGCGGTCTGCAGCATGAGAGGCCGTCAGAGCTCCGAAGTATATGTCAAGATTTGAGCAGAATCGTTGCATGGAGCAGGAAGAGGAAGGCGTCAACAGCAGTGATTGAAGTGTAAAATGGTACACGGCAGAGAACTTTCACTCTTGGATGTACCGGTAAGTGCCAGTATGGCTGTATGACGATTTTTTCGTCTCTACTGTATGTGACATGGAACTGTGGCAGTGGAGGAATTTTGGTGCTTGGGCCTTTCACACAACCTGCATGACCTGCGTAAAGCTTGATGTATTCTGAGTGCTGCAGCAGACACCCTGAAGGGCTGGAAAAGAGGGGACAAAAATAGGCTATACGTTTTGATTGCAAAACCTGCAATTCAAGTGGCTGTCAAAATCTCAATGTTAGAGCCTCATTATGTACAATCAATCACCTGAACACAATCTGGCAGAGCTACAAATGATCATGGTCATTCCTGGTTAAAAACACGGGCAGTGTGTGCCTAATGCTGCGTCGAGCCTGACAGTATTGTCTCAACGCATCTTCAATCTTCACCATGTGGCCCCACATGCCCCTCATTAGAGCAACCCTTGCCAGCTCCCGTGGCAATCCTGACTCCTCCTGGTGGTAGGTCACAATCTCTACACCCAGTTTACCCCCCTGCCCCTCCGCCTCGCTCCCCTGCCCCTCCAGCCTATCGCTTTGCTTCCCCAGCTTGTTTCTTTGCTCCCCACCTGTGCCATCCTGCCCCGGGACATAGCGGATTCGCCACGAGGAGTAGAAGTACGGCACACGGAGCACGGAAGGCCGAGAGACGGCTGAAGCGTGCGACGTGCTTCGGTTGATACAGAAGAACGTCCGAGGCTCAAGAGAGGTTTGAGGCTCGGGAGGGGTTTCAGGGGTGAGGGACCAGACGCGACGAGAGACGACGTATTCGCGATTGCGGAGGAAGAGGGGGAGACGCCTAACCCAGCGGAAGGCGGAAATCCCGACTTCGTTCCAGTCTTCTAAAACAGTCGACTCGGCTCGATTTTCGTCCCATTCCCGCCGGTAATCCTCGTCAAGAAGAAAGTCCCTAACTGCTTCCAGTGTAACCCCCTCTACCACCATACGGCCGCGGTAACACGTGCTCTTGGGATAACCCTCGACCGCACAGTCGAGAGAATGCGACGCGTATTGCATCGTCGGCGTCGAACGCGTCATCAAGTGTCGCCAGCCGTGCGACTCTAACGCGTCTTCGGCGATCCGCAGCCGCTCCAGGAACGACTGGAGATCGTAAGTCGTCACAGCCGAACCGTCAGCGACATTTCCGAAGTGATCGCACTGCGATGCAACGTCATCTTCCCGGTGAAGTGGACCGCTGCCAACACTTTCAGTACAAGTAGCCGTAGCCTGAGCCGCCTTGAGCGGCCATGGCAACAGATCGGTCTCTGATCTACAATTACTCCTACAGATCTCCCCTGGAAAGGCTAAAGGACTCGCGACTTCAGGCGATTCTGCGACGCCGCCGTCTGCTTCGAAGCCTGGCAGGCCTAATTCGCCGTCAACCCCTTGGTCCCCGGCGGAGCTGCTCGCAAAACAAACTGACGGCGATGGGACGTCGGGCAAGTCTTCGAGACGGAATCCGTCGCCGTCAACTCCGTCAGAGTAGGTACTGGAGTATCCGTCCTCCGTGTCCGTCCAGCGATCATCCCACGCGTCGCCGTCCGATCCTGACAGCCTGTCGCTGGGCGACAGCGACGACGCTGACGCCGATTCTTTAAGCTGTGCGATCTGCGTCGTCAAGTCTCCGTCAGCCAGCGACACTTGCTCTGCTTCCTGCGCGAGCTGGCGACGTTTCGCTGCTAGATCAAAGCCGTCCCTCAGCAGCACAGCCAGGGTGCCGTCGATCTCCCTTCGACGAAGAAACTCTTCGAGCTCCCAGTCCGCCTCCCCCGCTCCTCTAGCAGCACCCAGATCGGTCATCGCGAGGACTGCTATCATGGTGAATTACTCGGACACAGTGGAGGAATAAGCAAGCCACAAATGCCTCAGACTGGCATCTTCGAGCGGATCCTATCGGAACCTAGTAACACCGGCTGTAAAATGGAGGAAGACGAACTAGTTGAACGAGGCGGGAAAACGAAAATCCTCCCGCAAATCATTGAAGTTAGAGGCTGTTTTTCTTGATCCTCCTCCCATGAACCAATGGCGCCTGACAGATCGTCTCAATTGGAGAGAGCTTCCACCAGTTGACGACGATAAAAATCGTTTGCTGATAGTAACTGTTTCGCAAAAGGGCCTGATGGAGGAGGATCCCTGTTGTGTGACTCCCCGCTTTTGGGGGACACATATGCCTAGGACTGGTTGACGACGACATCTGCGTTCCTTGCCCAGTCGTGCGCGCCACGATCTCCTTAGCCAGCTGGATCGGCGACACGTGTACTTTGTTACGACTCTTCAGCTTGCTTCGTGCCACGCAACGAGTGGGCCTTTTCCACAGATCGGGAGAAACATCCCAAAGACGCGAAACGGAGAATTTGGTGTCGCCTGTAACCACCACCCAAAGCGAATAGAATCTAGTCAAATTCCCAATCGAACCGCTCTTGGTCCATGCCTGCAACACAATTCAGCGAATATGCGCTACAAGGCCAGATTCGAATAACTTGCTATTGTACAGCGCACAGGCCCTTCAGAGACTAGATAAGGGCCTTTGAGTGTAGAATCAAGGATAGTATGGTACACTTCATGGCTTCTTGTTATGAGGCGCAAATTAGACTCTTAAGTTGGTATAATTAAGGAGAGGAATACAAAATGGCAATATAAAACAACTTATACCCTATAATATAGCTAGGCACGGAGCAGATGATATGGGCTCGTCAGAGCAGAGATGCGGCTGTAGAATGGATCAGAGCACGCCAGACGGGAATGAAGTGCAAAGAGCACAAATTGCATGCGGCTTGGCAGATGGCCACATTTGGGTAACACATGTTAAATTATATATGTTATATAATTGTAGCTTGGTAGGCGTTACTGAAACTTACTGTGGATGGTACAACACCCCTCATTGTATCCCTCTCTTCTATTCTCGATCTCTTTTCTCTCGTCAAATTTCTTCTAGCTAAACCCTCACACCACTTCATGGCTTCCTAGCTACCTAGTCTTGTGACATGGTAACAGAGCAGGTTGCCCTTCCCGGGCCTGCTCCTCACGCTTCCGCCGCGCACTCCTACTCTCTCTCTCTCTCTCTCTCTCTCTCTCTCTCTCTCTCTCTCTCTCTCTCTCTCTCTCTCTCTCTCTCTCTCTCTCTCTCTCTCTCTCTCTCTCTCTCTCTCTCTCTCTCTCTCTCTGCCATGGCGGCCGCGTCGTCGTGCCGCCGGCCGCGTCGTGCTACTGCGGCCGTCGCGACTCGCAGTCGTGGCGTTGACGTCAAGCCGTGGCGGCGTCGTCGCCGACTTCAAGCCGTGGCGGCGTGACGGCGCCGCCGTGCTGCCGCGGCGTCTACGCGACAGCGCGCGGACGGCACGGATGGCAGCGGCCAGCGCCCCGTCTTAGCGCTGGCCAGCACCTCCGCATGCAGCCAGCGCGCCACACGGGGCGGCACACTCCCGGTCTCCGCTGCTGAAGCCCCGCCCCCCTTCCCCTGCGTCCCCTCTTCCTTGCCGCAGCCGACGGCTGACTCGCGCCGGCCGTCCCACCGTCGCGGAGCCCGGTCATGCTGCCGAGTGCTGCGAGCTCCGCCGCCGCCGGTAGCTGTCGTCGAAGCCGCCGCCGTTGCAGCTGGTGCCGCTGGCCACACCGCCGCACGCCGCCGCCGCTGCCGCCGTCGCCGCCGTTGCAGCCGCTGCCCTCGCTGTCGAGGTCGCCCCACCTCACGCGCCGTGGGGTTGACCGTGCTGGAGTAGCTGTCGCTGCTGCTGAGTATGGGGGTGCTAGGGGGTGTGTGGCTTAGTGTGTCGTGTGTGTGGTGGGCTTGCCGTTACCAAGCCTAGGGGGTGTGTTAAATTATATATTTTATATAATTGTAGGCTTGGTAGGTGTTACTGAAACTTACTGTAGAGGGTACAACACCTCTCCTTGTATCCCTCTCTCTTCTATTCTCGATCTCTTTTCTCTCGTCAACTTTCTTCTAGCTAAACCCTCACGCCATTTTATGGCTTCCTAACTACCTAGTCTCGTGACAACACAGTGTGCATGTACGTGACGAAACTGTGCGGCTACCCGGTTATAGCAGTATACACTTCATTACACTCTCCTCCCTTCTGTGTATGGTCTTAGTCACGATCGACGACGTCGCACACATTGCGTGCAAGGAGGAAGACTCGTAATACCATATATTTCTCGATTTGTGCCAGGGGCAACCAAAATTTTACCAAAGGAAAATCGTTCCTTCCAAGAAACAAGTGATACATGATGAAATGCGCTATGTGTTGTGCGAGAGTATTGTTGGAAATACAAACGTATGGTTATATAAAGTTATGTTATGTAACGATAATGAATTGCTTGCATTCCTGAAAGTGACACTCGAGCTACAACCCTTGTCGAGTTCAAGTCTATGACGCGAAGCACAAAGTGCAACGGTCATTGACCGTTGACCGACAATCCAACAGATAGAAGCTCAAGGGCCCGTTACGTCAACAAGGACACATAACTTGTCAAAAAGATGGTTTAGTTAGAGAGCAAGTTAGCGAGAGAAAAGAGAATGACTAGAGAAAAGAGAGGGGTACAAAAAAAGAGTTGTCCCCTCTACAGTAAGAACCAGTACTTTGTAGTACACCTACCTAGCCTACACACCAGGACCTCTGATTCGTTTTGGGGCACGCTGGTCGCTCAAGGCCCCCCTTCCTTCGCTCCCTGTTTTTTCAGGCCTCGCAAATTTTTTTACGCTGATCAATCAGGGTGCTGTAAAAATTTTGCGCTGAATTAACAGGGTCAACTACAGAAAATACGCTGTTCAAGTACATGCCATTATTTGACACACGTTCCTGATCACAGTCTTGGTCGGTTATAATCAAGTTCGCGTGGCTGGCGGAGGGGGGGGGGGGGGAGGGGGGGGAAGTGTGGTAATGGAGGGGGAAATCACGGAAATCACGGGTGGGGGGGTTGAGGCTCGAAATCCGCTACTACACATATCAGGGTCGGTCCCAATTCGACGCTGGAAAAACAGGCCTCACTACACTAGGCAAGCTGATCGAGCAGAGTTCACTTCTAAAAAAACCGTGAAATTTCAGGCTCATGTTAATAAAAAACTCTGTCTCATTAGGGTCACCCCTCGAAAAAACCCAGATTTTACCCTGAATTAGGGTAAAAAGCCTGTAATCTGAGGCCCTGCTATACACACACACATACACACACACACACACACATACACACACACACACACACACATACACACACACACGCATGCACGCACACACACACACACACACACACACACACACACACACACACACACACACACACACACACACACACACACACACACACACACACACACACACACACACACACACACACACACACACACACACACACACACACACACACACACACACACACACACACACACACACACACACACACACACACACACACACACACACACACACACACACATACACACACACACACACACACACACACACACACACACACACACACACACACACACACACACACACACACACACACACACACACACACACACACACACACACACACACACACACACACACACACACACACACACACACACACACACACACACACACACACACACACACACACACACACACACACACACACACACATATATATATATATATAATATGTTGACACACCCCCTAGGCTTGGTAGGCGTTACTCACAGAAGCAAGAGGCCAGGGCAGCACTACTAGTCTGTCCACTGGTATGAATAACAAGAAGAGTTCACTCCACACACCAAGCACGCCCAGCAACCCCAAGCCCTAGCACCCCCATACCCAGCAGCAACGGTGGCTTCCACAGCGGTTCGACCCCTCAGCGTGCGAGGCAGCGACGTCGGCGGCGGGGGCAGCGGCGGCGGCGGCGGCGGCGGCGGGCGGCGGCGGAGCCAGCGGCACCTGTAGCGGCGGCGGCGGGGGCAGCGGCGGCGGGGGCAGCGGCGGCGGTGGCGGGCGGTGGCGGAGCCAGCGGCACCTGTAGCGGCGGCGGCTTCGACAACGGCAGCGTGGGGAGCAGGCTCGATAGGATGGACATGCTCTGAAACCATATCAAAAGGAGGGTTTAACTAGAGAGCAAGTTAGCGAGAGAAAAGAGAATGACTAGAGAAGAGAGAGGGATACAAGAGAAGAGCTGTTCCCTCTACAGTAGGAACCAGTACTTTGTAGTACACCTACCTAGCCTACACACATACACATGTGTACATATAATATTAGTATGTTGACATAACAGGCACTGTAATACAGCGCCAACAGTTACCCGAGTCGTGCGAAGTTACCCGAGTCGGATCTTGAACATCAAAGGAATGTACCCCTGTTAAGTGCATCTTAGTTAGATCCTTCATGCTCTCGTATCACTATATGAATCATGTATCCCTTTGCTAAAATCAATTCTGTTAAGTTACATTCACTCTAACAAAGTTTATTGACCAATCAATCGCTTTCGCAAAGCGCACAGCTGCAGTTCAATCTTGAAGATCCTACGGACTATATTTGGGTCGCTACATGGTATCAAAGCATATGAGGATTCTACGCACAACACCCTTGATCCGTTTTAAATTCAAATATCGTGGCGCCAGTGACTCGCTCCCACCACAGAATGGCCTTAGGCTCGAATCACGAGGGCAAGGAAGCTCTCCTCCCGAAGCATGTCCAATCCAAATCCGGCGGCAACAACGATCGTCCCTATAGGACTCATCGAAGAATGGCTCCATCGAATGACAACTCTTGAAGATGGACCTCAATCCCTCATAATCGACGGCTCGAGCACCGCTCGCCAAACCACTGAAACGCAACAAACCTCTGCTGACAATGACTCCACTCCTGGCATCTTCAACTTCGATGCTTCCAACACGCAACCACCTGCAAGCACACGATTAAGTGACGAAGCCCTGCAGACCACACAATTGAAGTTCTTCGTTGTCTAAAAAATTAGAACAAGCCCAATCTTCGACGG